ATACAGACTTAAATAAACTAAAGTCTAGCCCTGGCTGAGGTGGTTCTGTAGGCCACAGACAGTTTTTAAAAACATGATTGACCCCCAGGTAGGAAGTTTATTCACTTGATGCCTCAAATTCTTAAACAGTTTATTTAAATACCTAGTAAATGGCTAATCTCCTACAAACTCTGGGGCTTTAACAAGGTAAACAAATGGGTGGGCTGTGAGCTAAACAATACATTTCCTCCCAATTTCCTCCCAGGCGCCCCAGTTTCCAGAATTCCTCTCCTTCCCTCCCCTCCGTTTGATCTTGCCTTCTGGCTCCCAAGCTTGGTCTCTTATACCCCGTAAAGTACTGCAATTGCAAAGGAGACATTTTTAATTATAAGTACTACAGTAATAAATTCAAGTACACTCATTTATCATAAAGGGCCTTCCCATCTGCCTCGAAAGTATGCTTAAAAATCCTGTATATTTGATAACATTAGCAGCAAGCACCTTCCACATGGGAATGTGCAGCACCGTGATCGCGTCCCCCCCTACCGCTCACCCCATCAGAACACAACCAGTGATGCCCCAGAGAGAGCCTGTCTGTGGCTGCCTTTGGGGATGCCTGTGTGGTCTCCTCCTCTGTGGCTGACACTCCAGTCCTTGGGGAAACCCTAGTAATTCCCCTGGGCAAAGGGAGGAATTAGGGACCTACATCTGCTTCCCCACACTAACAGGGAAGGCAAAACATCTTCTCCAAGTCCCACAAGTTCTTCTGGCCACTGTACAAATTGTTCTTGAGCATGGAGAGTTTCCAAAAGCCCTAATTAGCAACTCACAGCAAACATTTCTTTGCATTAGCTAATGATCCGGCTACACTTGTAAGCAAACAGAACCAACATATCTAATCAATGCTGAAAAACCAACCAAATGCCTATTAAACATCTGGATGTAATTTTCCAGTTAGAACAAAATGAAAACATATGCAGGCCCTTTGATCTGCGTCCTAACAAAGGAATTGTTGATAAGAAGCACTCAGGCCAGTCAGTGTGTCACTTTCTCTTCATAGGCTCCCAGTTTAATTTAGCTGGTTTCCTGCAATCTCTAATTTTACCATAGTGTGTGAAACCACAAGAGATTCTTGGGACGTGATTTTATTTGAGGTTTCACTGCTGCATGATCTGCTACTGACTGTGTTTTCCTCCTCTGCCTTCTCCCTCACTACCCCCCCCACCTCCACTCAAGTCCTAGGTTTTTTTCCTTGATCAACAGTGGAGGAGGAAAAGACTACAAATTAACACTGGCCACTCTCTTCTGAACCCTACCTTCTTAGGCTGAAGAATATTCTCAGTTTCACCAGCTTGGGTGGTACACACAGTAATCCCAGCATCAGGATCCCTGGAGGCTGCTAGGGCTACACAGCAAGCTCAAGGCCAGCCTGAACTATATAGTGAGGCTGTTTCCAAAAGAAAAAGTGACACAAAACAAAATAAACCCAAAGAATCAAAGAAAACTCAAATGAGGAAATATATGAGCACCACAGAGAAATGACAAAACTGGCCTTTAAGAAACTATTAATTATTTTAAAAAGTAGAACTAAAAGATGCATAATTTCTTCTCTTTTATAAAAATTTTTGAACTGGGGATTGAACCCAGTACATCTGGGCTGAGCTGCATCCCCAGTTCTCTTTTGTAATTATCACTATTATTATTTAGAGACAGGCTTTCACTAAGTTGCTAAATGGCAATCTATCAGTCACACAGACTCCTACAGTGCTGGGATTAGAGGTGCATGCCACCACGGCTAGGTAAGATGCATAACTCTTATGATCGTTGGGCATATATTTTCCTATTACGTCCAGTACCTACACTATATACTACACACACACACACACACATATATCTCATGATAAACCAAGTCAGGTACGGTGATTCATGGCTGTAGGATCAGCTCCAAGGAGGCTGAGACAAGAGGATCCTGAGTTCAAGGCCAACCTAGTCTGCACAGATAGAGGGGACCATGCCCCCCTACCAAAAGTCTTTCTCTGTCAGAAAAGGGGTACTTTCTTCATCCAAAACTATTTACTATGAAAGCAGTGTACTTAACATTATTTCCTGTACTAATATCACTGGCATGTGAGTATGTTAACGCTAAAAACGATTATGGTTATGGAAATTATAGATTTCATGAGTAGGACTATTTTTCTTTAAATAGTCTGTGGGAAATCTGCACGTATATTATTTATTTAAAACTAAGATTAAAACTGCTTGATTGTTTAAACCCCTCATTTATAATACAGTGTGATGAGTTTTGCAGTGTAATTATTACAGCTTGACAATCAGGGAAAGCCTGACCTTGACAAAGGACAGAGCCTCCCCCTCTCTCAAGGAGGATGTTCACAGGAAGGGCGTCTTCAAAACCCACCATCTTTAAACTCGAAATTAGCGCACTTTGTTTTGAAATCATTGAGTCTTCCTTTTTCCAGAATTTTTTTTTTTTTTTCTTCAGTACTGGAGACTGAACTCAGGCTTTTTACACTGAGCTAAATTCCCAGCCCTTTTTTCCCTTGTTTTTTATTTTGAGATGTGTCTTGCCGAGTTCCTAGGTTGGCCTGGAATTTGTGATCCTCTTGCCACAGCCTCCAAGACGGCAGGGATTACAGGTGTCTGTTACCCCATCAGGCTTCCACATACTACATTTTAAGGAAATCAAAAGGCCTGGCCTGGTTTTGAACTGGTAAGGAAGCACGAGTTAAAAGTATTTGCTAAAAAAAAAAAAAAAAAAGTATTTGGTTTTACTCATAGCAAGCTAGGAAATGTGGTTGAGGGTGAAGAGTCATCGGGGAATATTTAAAGAAACTGTTAAAATTGACTCTGAAGGACCTAGGGTGAGAAAGAGGCACCCCCTCTTTGCTCCTGTCCCGGAGCATCCTGTTTTAATGTTCTGTTTAAGGATCAGCGGTTCCTGTCAGTCAGCATACACTACTACTATATTACTTTTGGGCAGGGACGTCACGTGGCCCAGTAGTGCCAGAGTGCACACGAGCTCCCTGCCCAGGTGTGGAGCTGACCACCAGGTGCGCGACCACAGACTGGCACGGGTCATCGTCCGTTCCTGCGTGATGACCAGGAGGAGCACAGGCCTTGCCTCCCCAGGACAGGACGCGGGGCCAGGGTGTCACAGGATTTCAGATGACCTGAATATGCAACCTGTTCCAAAACCACAAGACGGAACCCAGACTAGAGGCTGCCTTTCCTTCCTATTTCCTGCCAGTAAAATCAAGTCGCACAACCACCTTCCTCAATTCTGCATAACCAAACACCCCAAACCCACGACTGGTTTAAGAACGAACTATATGACCTTCGAACCAGCTAAAATTACTCTTTGATTTTTCATTTATAACTGATACTTACGATTGGAGGGATTACACACAAATTAATACTACACATATTTAAAAACTCCAACAGAGAACTGTATTATCTAAAAGGACTCGTTTAATATTTCAAGGGAAAACATCTTTGTGAAAGCTCAACTTGGAATAAACCTGTGTGTTTGAATAAGCTCCTTCTGCCCAGGAAGGAGCTTCGTGGCCAAGCCTGTGGGAGAGCTGGGTTTCAATCCCAGCACAAAGAACCAAAAAACCAAACCAAAGTGAAAAGAAAACACCAGTCAAAACAAAACAAAGCAAACCTTCCCTAACTTTGCCTGAAGGTGAAATAGTGGGACCAAGAAAGGGCTGTCACACCAAAAAGTTGTTAACTGGGTTCCTGGATAGGCAGGAGGCTTGCATTAGAGGTGCCTGTTTCCAGGTCCCTGGGTACCGACCACTCAGCTCTCGGAAAACAGCCCATCTGCAAAGTGGTGAAAAAAAGTCCACGCGGGGTCAGGGGAGCCGTGGGTTCCGAAAAGTGGGCAGAACCTGGGCCACCAGGTCTCAACAACACCATTCTCTTCCACGAAACCCAAAAGCCCGCCTCACTCAAGTCCCCGCAAACCATCTTCCCGGCACCCATGAGGGTCACGCGGGCCCATGCCGCGGGTGGCGGCCCTGTGGGCCTCGTCTTTTTTCCTGGGCACTGGAGACAGGTTCGTGGTTCAGCTGCTGGGAGGCTCCTTAGCCCTCAGGCGCCCCTAGACATGAGAAGCCAGGGTTTCCGGACCAGGACCTGGGCTACTCCAGCGGGCCGGCGTCCACTCCGCGCGCCGAGGACACGCATGCCCAACACGCCAAGCCGTCCACGCAACAGCTCCGGGGCGCCCGGCTTGGTGGGGCGGGCGGTCTGGCCGGCCCAGGTGTCGCCGCTCACCAATGCGCTCACACCACGGCGCAGCCCACGCGCGGGTCTCCGCGAAGAAGCGGATCGGCGGAGGCGCGCTCCAGAACGGGGTGTCACCCAAGACCGCTGCGCTGAGAAGGGCAGCGCCACCCGGGTGGGAACCCCCGGTGCTTTCGCCGCCACCGCAGACGTCCCCTCGCAGGGAGAAGCGGCCCTGCGGCCCCGGCGAACTCCGGCCCGCAGCCCCGCGCCGCACGCCACCGCCCCCTCCCGCGCGCGCCCGCCCGCCCGCGGCCCCGCGCCCCACGTTACTTTGATTGACAGCCCGGCCGCGCAGCTCTCCTTCTCATCGACCTTCCAATCCTCCGCGCCAAGCCCCACGTCTCGCCGCTTCCCATTGGCTGCCGGCGGCGCCCCGCGGCCCCTCCGGAGCGGCGCCGCGCGGAGCCAGGGAGGACGCGCCGGGCGGAGACGGGCGGGGCTGGGAAGCGGGCGACAGCGAAGCCGGCCTCTAGCAGGGCGGAGGGAGGGGCTGCGGGCTGGCCGACCGGCGCGGCACGGCACGGCCATTGGCTACGGGGCGGAGTAACGTCAGCGCCCCACGTTGGGCTGGGTGCATGCGATTGGCCAAGGTGGCCTGACCTCGCGGCCCCCGCCTGCGCAAGGCTGGGCGGGGCTGGCGCTGTGCTCTCAGGAGTGTGAAACCGCGTGTTAATGTAAGCGGCGCGAGAGGCGCGGGCGGCGGCGGCTGAGCGGGCGGCTCCGGGAGCGGCAGCGCCGGCGGCACGGTGCCCCCCGCGTCCCCGAGGCTGCCCACGGCACTACCCCCAGCCTCGTCGGACCGGCCGGGACTCGGCGGCCCCGCGCCGGGGGCACTGCTCCGGACTCGCCCGCGGAGTTTGCCCGTCTGGAGCGGGGCTGAGCGGGAAGCACTGCCGCCGTCCTCGGCGTCCGGTGGATGTCGTCTCCCGGAGCGTGAGAGAACTTCGCGGCGGCCCGGAGCACCTCGGGCAGAGAGGGAGCCCGCGGTCGGAGAAGAGGAACGCCGCGGGGCCAGGGCGCGAGCCGGGGCCGGAGCGGGGCGCAGTGGCCCGATGCGCGCGAGAGAGGAGCGGCCGCGGGCGCTTCGACTCGCCCGCACGTAGTGGCCCGGGCTGACCGCGGCGCCGACTCACCCGGCGCACCTCCGCATTCCGCTTCCCTCGTCCGCGACCGCCCACCGACCCGACCCGACCCGACCCGATCCCTTGGCCTCGCCGGAGCCGTTGAGCGCCCGGCCGAAGACTCAACCCGAACCTGCGGGAGTTGGCCGGGGTCGCTGCTGGCTTGTTGGTGTGGGGCTCCCTGGGTCGCTGCGCCACCTGCCCCTCGCTGGTCGCCACAGCTGTCGCGGGAAAGCCGGAGCGGAGCGAGCCTGCCGACCCGTCGGATCCCGAGGGGAGCACACCAGGCCCTCGCCCCAGCTCCGCGCCAGTAGCCGAGGCCCGCGGTGGGAGCGCGCCCGCGTCGCCGCGCACGTTCGCGGGCAGCCGGGGCGCGATGTGGCCCTGAGGGCGGGAGGCCGTCTTTGCCCGACCAGGAGCCCGGTGTTGATCCGGCTGGTGCGCCCCGCTCCTGCCTGCTCTCCTGGCTTAATTCTCTTCGGTGGGATTAAAGTTAGAGATTGCGCGGAGAATCGAGTTGTCCGGGAACAGAGCCTCGGCCGCCGCCAGAGCGATGTTCCCGCAGAGTCGGCACCCGGTGAGCCGCGGCTCTACTTCCCGTTTCCCTGGAAGCCCTCCTCCTGACTTCGGGGCTGGCGGCCTGGGCGCCGTGTCCCCGGAGCGCCACCCTTCATCTCGCATGTTTACCAGTGGTTGCGTCCCCTTGGCGATACGCGTCCATAGGTGGCCGGGCAGCTCGGGGAAAGGGGAGCATCGAGAGTTTTCTCCCCCGACCCCTGGGTGGTTACTGTCCCCGTGGGGAAGCATAGACAACCCAGATGCCTGGCACGGCCCGGGCGCTCTGGCCTCGGGCAGGTGACCCAGGCGCTGTGTGTTGGGCGCAGGCCGCCCTGGGGTCTGGGTGCTTTCTAAGCCTCTGGGACCGGGATCGGGACCGGGGAAGGTCTACTTTTTTTCTCTCCAGAGTGAAGCTTAAACGAAGTGAAGCCTCGCTTACACCACTTCTAACTTTGTTTTATGTCCCACTCGTATCTCGTGCCAACCCTGACGACTTTCTGATGTTTCCATCTGCTCGCGTCCTCGTTCCTCGGTACCCCTCGTTGGTGCCTCCAGACGCCGCACCAGGCTGCAGGCCAGCCGTTCAAATTCACGATCCCGGAATCTCTGGATCGGATTAAGGAGGAATTTCAGTTCCTGCAGGCCCAGTATCACAGGTGCGTGCCCGGCTGCGCGGTGAGAAGTCGCCGGCTCCTTCGCCCCTGGGCGCCCAGGCTGGTGGTGGTGGCTGCCGCGCCGGCGGCTGTACTTTCGCTTGCGTCCAGGCGGTGGCGTGTGTAGTCGCTATTCAGACCTGTCATTCATCGTACCCCCTCTCCCGTCTCTTCTCGGGCCGCTTCTTCTGTCTCCTCCTCCTCCCATTGTTTCCCTTTGGCCCGTTTGCTGCTGTTCCTGGGAGTCCTCTTTTCGTGTATTTAGGAGTTGCATGAGAACCGTCAATATTTGCACTTCATTTATTTATTTTGCAACAGGCTGAGCTGAAACATTGGTTCGATCGATTCCTCAGCCCTGGGGTGCGTTTCAGAAAAGCAAAGCCATGTTGAAATGTTTGTTTGCCATACTAGAGGATAGGGTTTTCTGAGGCAAAGTCCATTAGGGAAGGCCAGGTAATTTCAGCCCATGGTGGTGGCGGAGAGAAGTGTAGAGTGTGTGGGAAACCTCACTGCTCTGCCCTCATTTTGGGTGGTTTTGCGGTGGGATAAGGGAGTGGGGCCACATTTGCGTTAATGAAAGACTTAGTTTCTTTAGTGATGCTGCGCATCAGGGCATTTACAAATGAAAGCTGTTTGTGAAGTACTCTTTCCATAGTGAATTTCCCAGGGTGGTTTATTTCCCTTGCTTCTGTGAGGTTATGGCTGACTGGAGCTAAGAAATAACTGTAATGACTATTTTTACTTTTGTTGAGCTTGAGAGAAAACAGATGAGGCTAAGTGGCTTGAGTGAGAGTTTTGTTCTTAGTTTGTCAGGGACTTTCTGATTGCTGACCTTTTGTCTGCTGGCAGATAGCACCTCCAGAGCCCCAGGCATGCTTGCACACACCATGTGTTTACCAAGCAGGGAGAACTTCGGCCCACTTCATTACAGTAGCTGCTTGACATATTTTGGCAAGGATGTAAGAACCAAAGGTTTTGAAAGGGACCAGCCATAATAAAAGAAACTTTGCAGATAAGATTTTCAAATCTAGAGACTGTTTAAGTTGGCAGAGGTGGCACAGCCCATGCTGAAGACTGACTGTTACGCAAGGGCCAGAGTTTAGTGCAGTCTTTAGAAGCAGTCTTTAATGCAAGGAAGTCGGGGCACATGTCCAGGAGGAAGATTCTGTTTTGACAGTTCTCATTATTGGCATCTGGGTAGATGGGCACCAAGAAGAAAAAGTTGAAGGGATGCACCGGGCTTGCTGGTCATTTTACTCCCTTTTCCTGTCAAATGCAAGGACAAAGCTTTGGGGTATTTACCTAGGTAGTTTATGGCTTGTCCAAATTGGTCTTTGTTTTTACTTGAAGTGCAAATATGTGAGGCAAATGTTAAAACAGGTGAGGCAATGTTTACATTAAGTTGCCTGTTTTGTTTTCATAGCCTTAAACTGGAGTGTGAGAAACTGGCCAGTGAAAAGACAGAAATGCAGAGGCATTATGTGATGGTAGGTATCAAAGATTGACCCTTTTTCCTTTTCTTATGATATTGGAAATTGTGTGTTGACATTATAACAATGCAAGTTAGTAAAAGGCTTGATTCTCTTTTCTCTTCACAGTATTATGAAATGTCATATGGATTAAATATTGAAATGCATAAACAGGTAAGCTTTACGCCTGAAGTTGAAATGAGAAATCAGTTATATGATTTGATGTACTGGTTGTGTCCTCAGTTGCAGGGTGGAGGAGTTGGCATTTGTATGCCCTTTTTCTGCCTTGGTTTCCCTTCCTGCCTAATGGTGATGGTATTCGGCAGCAGTGGTTGCTTCTTGACAATTACTTAGCCTTTAAATGACTAGGTAAGAGGTGGTTTGAAAATGTAAACTAGTTCTGTTTAAAGTAAACTGAGACTGAGCCTTACTTTTCCACCTCCATGGATGTATTCTCCCTGGAGGCATGTGTAGAATGGCTGAAGGTTAGCATAGTTTGTTAGTGCTGTTTAAGAGTGAAATAGGGACCTGTGGAGCAAAGAATTATGATAAACTGTGGCATACTTTTTATGCTTTGGGGTTGCATAAAATGACACTTAGGATTAGTGGTTTATTAGCATACATCTTACTGAGAAGTTTCTTAGTTGATGCAGGTTTGCAGATGAAAAAAGGACCCTTTTATTGCCACAGCATATGTTGGGAGTTGCTTCGGTCCTCATGGTTTTAAAAGCATGAAAAGATTAGTGACTGGAAAGCTTTAGCTATGACTATGAGTTTGCAAGTTCCCATAAAATTCACACTTACGGCTACTATAATGGTGTATAAAAAGAGTATTGAGCTGGAACAAGGCACTAAGGACCTCATAAGAGAAGAAAAGCTAAATGATTGCTCAGCCCAAAGGACCCTCGATTGAGTAGTCATTGTCTGCCAAAGAAAGCATTAATGGCAGGGTGTAAGTATTCTGGAGATATGCTGACATTCACTTTTTCATCAAGACGCTGATACAATAAGTCTTTCAGAAATCGATTGCCTCTTAAAAAATTATCATCAGATGAAGTTGCACAGTTGGACACATTTCAGAGTGCAACAATACAGTTCTTACTTGATGTATATGTGCTATTTCATCTCAAACCCTTGTTTCATTAAATTAAAGAGCATGGCTGACCGGCTGGGGCACAGTGGAGAAATTGATTAGTTCAGCCTTCAGATCTTCCTCATATTCAAAGACTTTCATTAAGCAAGTGTATTTCAGAGTTGAATTCTGCTTTTGTAACTCCTCACTCTTTGATTTTTAATTCATCATAGATTTCATAATGTCAAGCTATCGTTGTGTATATTAGATCCTTTTTCAGATATGTGTTTGGAAAGAGATAGCTAAATTCACAGACATTCATTAGTAAAATAATTGGACATTTTAAAGAGCTCCTGATTTCATTTGATTTGCAGGTTGGGAGCCTTGTTTGTATTGGTTGTGCCTTTATTTTTGTGTGCTTCAGTGGCTAGTCCCTACTGAGGCAGTTGGAACTTGCTGGTAGTGAATGGCTTTGCCTTAGGAGGTCTATGGCTATGGTCTATGAGCTTCTAAGGTAATTTTGAGAATGCATTTGGCCTCGGGCTGCCACTCTTAAAATTAGCCTGAAGGCCATGTTTTTTTGATGTTTAGTTTTTTTGGTAACAAATATTCTGAGATTTCAGTGACTGAGCTTTTTCTTAAACCCATAACTTGATGGATCACCCACCTCATCAAGTCTTGCACTAGGTGTGGTGTTACGTGCTGGTGCTGTCACTGGAGGAGCTAAAAGGTGTGTAACTCTTCTGGGTTCCTGGAGTTCACACAGCATGGTGACCGACCTTTTCTTTGTTGTGTGGGAAGAAGGAAGAAGGGACAGAAGCCCTATGGTGTGAAAATGGTTTTCTAATGAGTTTTTGTACTGCACTGGCATTTGTGGGTATATATACTGTCTGTCCATGAGCCTGCGTGTGTTAATCATATGCTGTGTATAATTGGCTAAATAATTTTTTAAAAAATGAAAAGCTGAAGGATAATGTGTGTCTTGTGGTAGGGTATCGAACCCCTGAAATTTGGTTTATATTGTAAATGCTGACAGACCCTTCACTAGAACAAGGTGCGAGGCAGTGCTGTAATTCAGTTTAAAGTGGTCTTACATTGAAAAACATCCTTCTGAATGTCACACATTAATAATAAGTTCCGAGGAGGCATTTGGTGCAGCTAGTAATCATAATTCTTATTAAAACTGGTGACGTCTGGCCCCCAGGGTGTAGCCAGGCTCAAATTGATGCTTTTTGCCGCCTGATCACCAGCATGGCCTAAGTGCTCATTATATTGTAGAGAGGGCCTTTGGAGCTCTCATTAGATTTGACAGGAATTCTCTCTAGGGGGAAACTGGGCATTAGTGAGACTCCTGACAGGCTGAAATTATTCCTGCTTTATGGCTTATAACCAAATGCTAGCAAGGCATCAACGGGGGACACAAAAAATTGTCATTTCTGACAACATCTTTGTTACCGAAAGAAACGCAGTGACGGGGAAACTTTCCATGGAGAGGGAGCGGGAGGCAGTGAGGGCGAGCTGCACCACTGCTGAGCTCCCCTTTCCGGAGGCTCTGTCCCTTCCTGCCTTGCAGCCGGCTCATCTGGTGGCCATGGGTTCAGAGTCTCCTGTCAAGCCTCCCTGCTGGCTCTTCTGTCTGGGAGTTGTAAAGTGGCAGCTGTCCAAATCAAGAATGGTATAATTGTGGTTTCCTGACTTGAGGAGGTGCCCGCAGCCCCGTGTATGTTGTGTCAACACTTCCGGATAGGCCTTGCCCTTGCTCTCTCCTTCCCATTTGTGGCTGGTTCCTGAAAGGCGAGGCCCTGAGTGGGATAGACACCTCAGTCTTTTATTATATAGCCTTAAGACAGTTTCCCTCTCCGCTCTGACTTTTTAACAGATGCCTGCCTGTTCCAGCAGATCCCCGTGTTTCCATCTCTATGCATATAAGTGGTGAAACTACAATTGTTGCTAAGCAAGAGGGAGACAGAGACTTCTCTTGGAAAAGAGAAACAGCTCTTAGACCTTAGCTGAAGGCGAGCTGCTGTGACTTTGGTTGGTGTAAGGGCTGTGTCCCATCCTTGTGGCAGCCAGATCTTTACATTCCTTTTCTATGCTGTGGCTTGGTATTATCTCATTGGATATTTTTGGGAGCTTTGTGTGTTATAAATGCACGCATAAGACTGTGTGTCCTGCTCGTGTACATTTGCCCTGTGCTGGTAGAGCCAAGCTGTAAGTTGTCATTGGTGGCTTCAGCATTACAGTTTTCAGTAGCTATTCCCCACCATTTCCACAGGCACCTGGCAAGGTGGCTTGGGTAGGTGATTGCTTGGCCAGCAGCTGTGTCTGTGTACTTAGCACTCAGAGCCCATGGCAGCTGTGGATGGGCTCGTGAGCCAGAGGCCTCACTTGTGCCAGTTGACCGCAGGACTAAGGAGACACATCAGGTCTAGATGGAAGTTCTCCAAGGTAGGAAGGTGGTGCTGAATTCCTGTGGTGTGAGTCTGGGGGGGGATCTCCAGCCCAGGAGTACATAGGAAGTTGTATCCCACTGTGTGATAATGTGCCAGGTTAAAATACGTTTTGAGAACAAAAGAAGGATGTCAGGAATCCTGTAGAGACTGGGTGATGGCCTTAGTGTCATCACTCTGCCTGAGTTCTGTTAGGGTGTGCAGGAAAGCCTGGCTCTGTGCAAGGCAGTGATGGGTTTGGAGGTGATTAAAGGTCTCACTCTGCAAGGAAGGAGGTGACCCATTCTGTAGTCCTGGTTTTGGGTGGGTAAGAAGAAAAGGCTGAACATTTCCAAGCTCCATGGCATTTCAACAAGCACAGTGTGTCCAAAAGGGAGCAGGGCCCGAAATGTGTGTAGTTTGGTGGTGCAGAGCTGGCTCAGCAAGTACAAGGCACCGAGGTGGGGTCTGACATTGCTTTCACAGTTTGGATGTATGCTTTAAAATTTTTCTTAGACAAATAAATTGTCTGGGTGTGGTGACACGCCTGTAATTCAACCATGGGAGGCTGGGAAAAAAGAGTTTTGAGTTTGAGGCCAGGCTATACCTTGTGGGGAGATGGGGGTATTTAGTGGGATTTTTTAAAAGATGAAATGATTAGGGATTCCCCTGTGGGTTAATTCCTTAGATGTATCAGTCACAGTATTTTTCACCATTCTTTCTTTTTTGAGAGTGTGTACATTTTTGTCTGTGTTTCTCACTCTGAGGTTTCTCACTTTTCACTTTGGTTGGTAGGAGACCCCCAGCTAGGGCCCCACGCCAACCACAAGGTTTACGGAGTCACACGGTCTCCCAAGGTTTTTGTTTTTTAGTTTGTTTTTATTTTTCTCTGAGTCAAACTCAGACTTGGAAATGACCCGCAGGAGTACAGGCAGAGTTCCGCTCTGCCCGGTATCCATCACTTTGTGATACAAAGAGGGTAGCTGTCCTCAGCATAGAGTGAGCTCTGCCTGCCTTTTCATTAGCCAGACCTCTCAGTCATAGGCACAGTTTACAGAGATAAAGCTCCAGAGCATTGAGAGCCCAGATGCCCCGCAGCCTGCCCACCCACTGGCTGGACCGCCGGGGTGCAAGATTAGACCTTCTTGGTGGCAGCAAGCAGGGCTGATTTCACCCTGCTGCTGTCCCCCTGACCCCAGCTCCACAACAGTTGTCTGTGGTTGCTTTCTGTCCAGGCCTGTCTTGGGCCTTGGACATGAAATTTAAGCAAGGAGTCAAAAAATTTAGTAGTCATAGTAATATTTTAAAAGTTCAAGTTAGTGCCCTCGAATCCACACTGGTCAAAGTGCCCCCATTTTTTAAGGATGTGGCCCATCTGGCTTGGGGGAGGTGGGAAGACCAGGCAGAGCTGGGCCAGGTATGTCTGACAGCTGCCCATTCCATTCCCTTAAGTGTAGGCTCTGCCATGGCGCCTTCCAGGTCATTCCCTGGGGCCTGGATGGAGGATGAATTCCCAACCCCAGTTTCCTCAGGGCAGCAGTCTCCAGAACCCCCATCCCCGAACCAGCACCTTGTATGCGCGATTTGAGGCTAGGCCTTCACCAGAGAGAGGCATCTGATGATCTTCCAGAGAGTGTTTATGAAGAAACAGAAATTTTCTGTAAATATTTAAATAAAGCACCTTGAGTGATAGTTAAACTAAAGATACATTCAGCTATTGCCTCATGGAACCATTTTAATTTCCAAAGAGCCAGCTTCTTTTTGCTTTTCTATTGTTAAACCTTTTACAGTCTCCAGAGTGCATTCAACAGGAGGGAAGCTGAGGATCTTAGCTCTTGACTAGACATCGAGTGAACTGAGCACTCCAAAACCTTGCTTACTCTTGTCTGAGATCTTTTTTCTTTTCTTTGTTGTTTCTTATTTTGGTTTTTGAGACAGGGTCTTACTTACTGTGCAATTCAGGCTGTCCTTGAACCTACTATGTCGCTGAGACTAGCATTGACCTCACAGTAATGCTTTTGCCTCAGCCTCCCAAGTGCTGGAATTACAGGTGTGAGTTACCATTCTTGGCTAAATTTTTTTTTTTTTTTTTTTTTTTTTTTAAACCACAGTTCTCACATCTAAAGGGTGCTAACCTTTAATGTAAGATACTTGGTATAACGCTTTTAAAATAAATTTTAGAGGTTCAAGTTCTAGGACTTTTGTTGCTACAGGCTAATATAATTTTTTAAACAAATTAGAGCTGGGTGATAGTGCATGTTTGTAATCCCAGCCCTCTGGAGACTGAGGGAGGAAGAGCTGAGTTCAAGGCTTGTCTGGATTATGTAACAAGTCCCTGATTCAATCCCGGTGAGTATTAGACAACTGTTTTTGCCATTTGACTTCTTTGATGGGCATTTATACCTAGAAAATGGTCCTCACTAACAGTCTTGGAGAGTAGTTCTGGAGTCCTAAGCATCACACAGTGGGGTATTCTGTGAAGTGCCCATTGGCAGTGCTGGGGCTGGAGTACAGGCTTTGTGTGTGCCTGGCCAGGGATTTCCCCTGCGTGACAGTCCAGCCCTATCTTTTTTTTTGTTTTTTTTGGTTAACAATCTTATTATGCAGTGCAGACTGGCCACAGACTTGATTGTATATTCCAAGTGGCCTCAAACTCATGGTCCTCCTGCCTCAGCCTCCAGAGTACTGGGATTACAGGTATGCATCATGAGACTCAGCTACCAACCCGATGTTTTCTTTGTCTTTTTTTTTTCCCCTCCTTTTTTTTTCCAGTACTGGGGATCAAACTCAGGACCACCTGATTGCAAGGCAGGTGCTTATGCCGCTGAGCTAAATCCCCAGCCCCTCCTACCTGATGTTTTAAGTAAGGTATGTGTTTGTGTTGGTAGGTAGGTAGGTATGGGTATAGGTGAGAGAAAGACCTTAATTTCCTTTGAGCCATGGTTTGATGTGAAAGATGAAATAAATTTGCACTGAAATTTTATCGTAATTAGGGTATTCATGTGATGTAATTGCCATTCGCTTGATGTCATAAAAAGTGATTGGTAAAATAATTTGCAGAAAGGTATGTTTCCAGAGTTGCTCAGCTTCCTGGAAGTCACTATAGGTTTTGAAATGATGGTATGTGGCTCTAACCGACCTGTACTTTAGCACTGGTTTATATTTCACTCTGTGACATTTAACTTTTTAATGATTACTGCTTCATTCTGTTTACCTGTTTTGAAGCATACAGAATCATAACCTTGGTCATAGTTGTTTGCTCCCCTGCTTCAGGCTCAGTACAGTTTCCTCAGGTGGTTCTCGCAGATTGTGTACGGCTTCAGTGTTGTCTCCCTCCCCCACAGTGCTGGGGATCTATCTGAGGGTCTCAGGCATGCTAGGCATGCACTCTACAATGAGTTACATTTCCCCTCCCTGCTTTGTCATTTTTTTAGCCACAAAACATATGGTCATTTTTGGTATAGAGAAAAAACTGGCAGGAAAAAAGTGCTAAAATTCTGTTGATTGACTTCTACACCTTCAACATAGGATGATTGTTGTGCTGAGGACATGTATCTGTGAGCCTGGGTGAAAGCAGAGTCCCATGTAATACACTGCTGAACATCCCTGTATCTGTTTGCAGTGTGCTAGTAGATACTTGTTGTCCATTAGATGGGATGAAATTAGTCTCTGAGAAAATAGGTGCTTTTCAGCTTGCATCCCCAACCCACACAGTTTGCTGAAATTGCTGCAGTATGGCACAGTTAGACTTGAGTTTGGTTTTAGCACTGCTGCTTGTGCATCTGGTTCTTAGTCTGTGTATGCAGCCTGTCAGGAAGATGTTTGCACGTATATCAGGAAGCTAGAGTTTACTTCCTTGTAATTCATGTACGCATGATGCTGTTTTTGTATATGCTGTGATTTGTAGTATATTCTTGTGTGTTTGCACAGGTGAGTGTTGAACCTGGGATCCTCCTTCCACCTCTCGCTTGCTGGAATTGGAGGCCTGAGGCCCTGGGCCCAGCCATGTAGCATGACAGTGAGTGCTCACCCCTTAGTCGTCTGTGCTATGACCTTGGACAAAGGCCCCACTAGGTGGGCTGCACACTCCTCAGGGCTGCTAGGGCTTTGGCCCTTGCGTGGTATGGCCTCTGCCCCCAAGATCTTTCCCCTCTGTTTTTACTTGGCACCCCACTTTCTCTTCCCTGTGGCCCCATGAGCCACCTGGATTCCCTGTGGAATTTCCTTTTTGAAAACACCAGGTCTGTTGCAGTCTGTCTTCCTCAGCTGCCCCCAAGGCCAAGTTCAGAGACCCCAGGTTTTCCTTGAGCCTTTCAGTTAGGGTACTGGAGGCTGCCCAGTATGTGTCAGTGCCGTTGCAGCTGTTTTCAGGCTGCCAGGGTGCTCTGTGCATTCCTTTTGGGTACTGAACTTTTGAAAGTCTGCAGACAGCCGCTTTGCCAGGAAGCAGTTGTATACATTTTTACATAAAATTACCCAAGGTAGTCTGCCCAACAGCTTTGTTAGTCTACATTTCAAGATCACAACAAAACATGGAACCCAGATTAAACACTTGAATCAGGGACACCAAAACTGGTCCTCCACCGCAGTGAGGCTTGCAGCCTAGTTGCTTCTGTTCTCATAATCTCGTCTCAGCCCTCTTCACGCTGGTCTTTCTCTTTCGGAAAAGTAATCTGCAGGCAGAACGTACATGGGCTTCTTGATGAGGAGCTAAGGCACAGTAACACGTTTGGGTTTGTACTGACGAGAGAGAGGAGACAGGCATGTGTGGGGCCGGCCCTGGGCCTGGGGGTCAGGCTCTCAGCTAATGCCCGTCTTACTGCTTCTGCTGTAGCGACCACAGCTCCTGACAGAGTTGGGGATAAGTTGCATTAAAAGCTTCTCTTGAGGCATTAAACATGACATAATCACCAGTTTTCTTAATAATGGTTATAACCATTGATTAAAGTCTTTAATACCCTTTCCTCATCCACCTACCTTTTTTGTGTGTTTTTCATGGGGGAATACACCTGGCATCCTTACATGGAGCTGCATCCCCAGCCCTTTTCAGTGTTTTGAGACCGCTTCTTGCTAAGTTGCCCTGGCTCGTTTCAAATTTGTGATCACCTGTGTCAGCCTCCCAAGTACCTGGATTATATCATATTAACCATTCCAAATATTGTATTATGAAAATTTCGAATCTTAGGAGAAAGATACAGTGGGCACCCACCTCACAGCTCCCTGTATTATCCCTGTAGGTTACATATCTTACTTACATAGGACCCTTTTCTCCCAACATGGAGAATTTGGAAAGGCTCAGCAGAGAACCACACATTCTTTCCTGAGCTCAGTTTAACTTTATTATTATTATTATTATTTTTATTGGTACCGGGGGTCAAACTCACGACTGCGCTCTTGCAAGGCAGGTGCTTATGCTGCTGAATTAAATCCCCAGCCCCTGAGCTCACTTTAGAGTGTATAAAGGAGTGATTTTCCTGTGTATTTTAAGAATTCCAGCTTATAGCTTTGATGATGCTTTTCTGTGAGACCTGCTTCTTACATTTCTGGCATGATTGTATGGGTGGCCCACCATGACTATCCTCTGAAACAGATTGGTGCTTACACAGAAAAGCCAGCTCCCTTTGCAAACCCACCCATCTGCCTTCTGTCACCTTCTTCAGCTTGAACTCTGACGTGCCTGTAAGTGCTGACCAGCGTGTGTGCCAGGGAAATGGCTGCTGCATGGACAAGCAGGAAACTGGGAAATAAGTTTGTGAAAATGAGTCTGATTTTGAACTTGTGTGAGTAACTGTCTCGGTGGAGAATTTCAGTTGTGACTGGTACAGGGCAGAAGTGGAGGCAGCCAAGCTCGTGGAGGCCCCAGGAGACGCCTGCCTCCTGGGGGCTGTGTTCTCAGGTGCCCCCCACAGCAGGGGCACAGCCTTTGTTCCCACTCTACACCCTCTGGGTGCCCCAGCAAGTGCTGGCCAGCGCAGCTCATAGTGTGGGTGAAGCAGCATGTTGACATGCTCAGACACAGTGACGACGGGACGACGGCGTTGGGAGCAGTAAATATATTACAGAACACAAGTGCCTTGCCGATACTGCTTGTTTAGCAGTTTGCTTAGCAGTTTGCAAGGGCAATGGCAGTATGGATTTTTGAATTAGAAGGGAAGGGCTGTTCTTTCTCTGTGCAGGAACATCTAGTTGATGTCTGGGGAGAAAATTGATTTAGAGAACAAAATGCAGGCGCTTTTATTTGTGCCCTTTGAAAGATTTCTGTGGATTAGTGAGTGAAAATAAAAATGTCGCTTTGGGGTAAGGAAAGGTGTCTTAACGGTGATCCGCATCTCTCTGGGATGGAGACGTTAGGGATGGGCCCGTGGAGGGGACGCGCCTGTTTTTGCCAGCCTGCTCCTTGTCATAGAGAATGCTCTTTGGGGATGTTTGAAAGTGTGTAGAGTTCCTGGATTCTGTTCTGTGGCAGCCTCGCATCAACCTCCTAGTCTCCCTCTTGGTGGGTACCAGTTACGATTCTAACTTAAACAGGTAAGCAGGACTGACAGGTGACCATGGCACCTGCCACCCAGGAGGGCTACTTCCATGAGGCCCCTGCCCTGGACCAGCGACCTCTCGCTGAGCACTGTTCTGGAAGCCTCTTGTAGTCCCCTTAAAACTCCGCTCCTTTATTACACATGTAGGCTTTGCTCCATTTATTTTTATTTCCATCATGTGTTTCCAAGCCAGCATTTTCTCCACATCAGAATTAGTTCATTTTTCATTTTTTTCCCTCAGTTATAAAGATCAAACATTTTATTTTTAGCCTCAAAAGGAAAGCTAAACATTCTTTTTCCTTTGAAAAATATAGCCCCTGTTGGCAGTCTCTGTTGTCCAAAGGGTCCAGAGGATTTAAAATACTTACTCTGGCCAGAGAGTGAACTGCGCCCTTGGAAGGTGAGGACTTTAGGTAATTAATGTAAATACCGGGTTGGAGGTTTTTTCCTTGAAGGGGATGGATGAGCAGTGGAGAGGATTTGGTTCATTTTATTGAAGTGAGTTGTCAAAATACAGGGTAAGAGATGTTTCAGACTTTTTCTGTTAGTGTAGCCTGGAAAACTCACTCTCAAAAGGAAGCCTTTGTCTTCCTGCACATGCGTGGCCTTGTGTGTGGAGATTAGCGAAGGACAGGTTTTAGGCCTGGGCTGTGTTAAGTCTGTGAAACCCTGTGCAAAGGTTTGGGGAGAGTGTTTGTGTTAATCATTCTCCATCTCTTCTCTGGGCCTGAAGTCTGTGATTGTCACATTCATAGCTTATGTGCTAATATTTGGGGAAGCAAAACTAACAACCAAACAAACCCTCACATGAGTAAAGCAGAACCACTGAGGGGCCCAGTTTGTGACTCCCACTGCCAAAGGCAGTGCAGGGAAAGGACGTACTGTGTGTGTTTGTAGCATCCAGGATAAAGGACGGTGCCACCCAGTCAAGTTGCGGTCCAGTTTACATCCATGGGAGCTTGAGCGCTCAGCTCTTGCTGATAGGATGTGCAAGAAGCTGCCTGCTGAAGCTGCTCTCGAGTGAGGGAAGCGGCCAGAGATGTCCAGTGTCTGCAGAGGAGCGTTGCTGTCAACAAGCCTTGGGCCTGCCAGTTGGCCCCGGTTGGAGCCATTTCTGTGTGAAGGAGGCGGACTTTCCCAGTGCCTGGGTGGTGACCCCTGTAAACTGGTGTCTTTTCCTAGCTCCTGAGAGGCCTGGAGTCAACCACTAGAGGAGTCCAGCTTCTGTGCGTTTTAGCTGACCAAAGGCCAAAGTCATACCATTCACCTACAAGTGGAACCACTGACTCTGCAAACTTACAAGAAATGTGTATTTCAAAATTGATTACTTGGGAT